CACATTGACGATGACCTCGGCGCCGAGGTGCTGCAGAAGCTCTTCTTCGGCATGCCTCGCCTGCAAGCATTGGACTTCGCCGGGTGCACATCGCCGTCTTTCAAGAACTCTTTTGCATCTCTGGTAGACATGGACTGGCCCGAGACGCTGTCGATCACGCGGCTCTCGCTGCACAAGTGCCTGACACTCCCTCCCGCGCTATTCGAGAAGATCATGCCACGCCTCACTAATGTCACACACCTGGATCTTGCCCAGACCAAGATCACCGACCGAGCGCTGCAGGCCATCCCGAAGACGGCCAGGATTACCCACTTGAACCTCGCCAAGTGCACACTGCTCACGGCTCCCACCGTTATCAACTTCCTTGCGACTCATCCGGCGGTCAGGAATCTCGTTTACCTGAGCGTGGCCACCGATGCTCGGAGTCACCAGCTTCTGGATGTGGAGGACGTTTCGCAGCTCATCCCTGTGCTGCCCAAGACACTACGGTCTTTGAGCCTAAAGGGTAGCCGCATGGATGACTCGCACCTCGAGTTGCTGCGACCGCTGACCAAGTATCTGGAGGAGCTCGCCGTCGGGCGCGACATGGATGTCAATGCCGCCGCTAAGCTGCTTGAGCCGGCGGACGAGAAGAAGCAGGAGGAGCCCCACATGATCCGATACCTGGACCTTTCGGACCTCTGGGGCAGCGAGTTGGATATCGTGGATTTGTTTTCGAGCCGAAACTCGCTGCTAAAACCGAGCTCGGTGCCACTCGAGGTGGTTGAGATCTCGGAGCAATCGTTCAAGAGCCTATCTAGGAATAGGGCGCTGGAGCGCGTCGGCTGGTCCCTGCAGGAAATCGGAAGCCGATGCTGGATGGTCCGAATGCAGGACCACCGCAAGGATCAGGACCGCGGCTACCGGTGGTGGAAGATTGGCGCCGACAACTGGGGCATGCGCAAGATCCCGGTCGCGCGCGCCGAAGTCGGCGGCATGTACGGGTCCTTTATGTTTGGACGCAAGCTATGAATCACATGCACACCGCAAAATCGCATGGGAAATCGAAGAGGAAGAAAAGGGAAAGGGAAAGCATCTGCATTGGAATGCATCGACCGAAAAACAAGCGACCAGCATCATCAGCATTTGATTCCCTCGCCTTAGCCTTGGCCTTGGTTTTTTGTTGTTTCTATTTCTTTTTTTTTTTCTTCTTCTTTTCTTTCTTCTCTCCTCTTTCTCATTCATCGGACGGAGTCGGGATACCAAAACCAAAAAAGTGCATTTGATTTTCAGGATGGGAAATGGTCAATGATACTCGGAGCTGTGGCGGGCTAAAAAGGCCAAAAAATGGGCGGAAAAGAAAGCAGCATTTGACGGCCTCTGCAAGCAAGAAAATAGCATCAGCGACGATGAATGACTTGGCTTTGATGTACGTTATTGAAACGAGTAGCATAATACTTAATCTTTATGCTAAGTTAAACCAATTTGTCTCTTTGGCAATGTGGAACCTAGTGGTGAATTTTGAATCTTGGTGACCTTGTTCTACGCTGTTGCTATTGCCATCACTATTGCAGTAAACAATGGCTGCAACTCAGGAAGCTCTCAACGTACCTGCAGTGGCTACATCATCGTGCCGTCACAGCGAACCACCAAGGTCAGCATACCCCTGCACCGGAATGCGCTCCTAACTTCTGTTGCCTGGAAAATCTCACCTTAGGTAAGCCGGATCAGCTCTTGGCAGAAAGTTAACTCATCTTTTCCCTCTCATACCGTGGCCTCGGTGCAGCCTTACGCGCTGACCTCGTCCTTGAACTATCAACGTCCAAAAAAAAAAAAGAACACTTGTCAGCCTCGAGCTCCAAGTAAGGTACGGAAATTTCGACTTCTTTTCTCATTCTTGAGAAGCTTTCCCGGCTTGATACTTGGACGCATCAAGTAGAAGCGCTTGCTTGATAGCAAGTCGCCGCCGTCGTTGGCCCGTCATGGCATTCGGCTGGTCAGAGTAAGTAGCCACATGTCCCTCCCTCCACTCTAACGTACCCCATACCCCAAACTACATCATCGCCAAATTCGCGACATCATCAATGCCCGTTAAGAGGATTCAAGACTAACCGCAAATCTCCCAACACCATAGAATCCGCTCTCTTCTCCTCGTCTTCGGTCCGATTCTCCTTCCCAAGGCAATCGCAGCCTACAAATCCATCCGCAATGCCTCCCAACACAGCGGCGAACCGATCCCCCCTCCGCCCCGCATAGCCCGCGCCCTCGCCATCCTCACTATCATCGTGATCGTCTACCTCGTCAAGACCCTCCCGCCCTTGGCCCCGGAGAACCTCTTCACCCTCACCCAGTCCCGCCTGCAGATCCCCGTCGACGTCCTATTCAACCGCCTGTCCTCCCTCCGCCCGGAATCCGCCCTCACCGCTGCCGACGAGCGCCTCCGCGCCCGCTTCGTCAACCTCGAGTCCCGCCTTCTCTACCTCCAGCTCGGCCCCGCCGCCCTCGCAGACTGCCCCTTTTGCAAGTCGGAGGACCCTAAATCCTACTTTTACTACGCGCTTCCTGCCATCATTCTCCCCCATCTCGTCAACCTCATCGCCCTCGCCGCCGTCACCTCCTCCACCTTCACCGGTCGCGATGGTGCCCGCTGGCGGTCCCACGCCACAATGGCCGCCGCCGCCCTCGCCGCAGCGGACGCCGTCCTCGTAGGCCAGTACGACTACTCCGCCAACGCCACCGCCCTCCGCCTCCAGGATATGGACTTCTTCTATTGGCGCGCCCGCGCGCTGCGCTACATCGCCCTCGCGGCCCTCGACGTCGGCATCGGCGCACTCCTGTTCCTCTCCGGCACCCGCCGCGCTTTCGTTCTGCCGCCCTCGGAGGCTGAGCGCATCGAGGCGAGCAACCGCGCCTTGACGACGGTCAAGAGTAAGCTGAACGCGCTGGGCATCGTCAAGAACACGTCGATGCGCGACGAGGAGCTGCGGGCGCGGAGTCAGGCGTATTGGTTGCGCGAGGGCCAGATGGTGCGCGAGGCCATGGAGGAGAGGGAGGTTGTCGAGAGCGTCAACGACGCGCTGGAGAATAGGATCAATATACAGCAGGTCACTAGCGATGCTGAGAATTATACCGAGGGGGTCTTTCGACAGCCGGAAGGCACTGCGCAATGAGCGGTGCGGTGTCCCTCTTCGGTCGGAAGTTTAGAGTTGATGCGTGGTGTGTATAGATAGCCACTGCAGCATAACACGTAGAGAATAAAGAAAGAAGCATATAATTATGACTAAGTCTAGATCCGATGAGTTTTGCGTAAATCGGAAGAGAAGTGTTGGTGATGAGTAGAATTAGGGAAGAACAACTTAGGAGGAAACGCTCATGGATACACTTTTGCGATGTATCACTCGCCCTAGAGGCGTACTTTATTCAACACCAACATCGTCAAATCCCATCATCTTCTGCCGTGATGAACCAAGAGCTTCCCCGATATCCCTCTTTACGCAAAGAACCAAATACAACCGTCAAAAGGGCAGGTACCTTATTTTTAAGAAAGAGGTGGGCAGCCGTGTGCCGTACCGTAATGACCAACCTTTCATCTGATGCCTTCCCCCACCCGAAGACAAAAACCGAACAACCACACACAGCAAGCCTTCATATACCCCCTCAACGCCATTCCCGTCACCAGCCAGCAGGCGCCCGTCTAGGTCGACGGGTCAGGCCAAACTGGCTGGGTGGTGGAGTGGTCCAAGGTTCAACAATCAAAACACGCCAACCAGCCTTACTCGACGACGGGCTTAGCGAAGAGTACCCGAGTTCGAATCCCAGTACGAGCACCAAGAGATGTAGCCACACCGGTGGTGAACTCTTTTTTTGTCTTTTAATGGTCTACCTTGTTCATGACTTTGCTTTTTGGTTTATTTGCAGCACACCCGGGTTTTGTTCAACTCGGAAGAGTTACCCAATCATAATAGTCTTCAACCCCCTTTATGCTCCGTTCTTCGAGACTGACGGAAATGAATACATCAGGGGTTACCACCTCTACGCCTCTACACCTCTACAACGACGCCAACAGCCGTCTTTACGCAGTCCACGACGACCTCCACTAGCTGCCGCCCCGTCCCGTCGCCGCGCTACTCCCGCTGTCCTTGCGATCGCGCGGCGTCCCCGCCGACGATCCCTGGTCCAGCCCCTCCTCGGCACTGCGCTCGAGGAAGCCCGCCCAAAGGTCCGCGAGGGACTCCTTGTTCGCCGAGGTGGGCGTCTCGGAGAAGAACTCTGCGCTCAGAGACGGGGTGCTAGGCGTGCGGTGGAAGGGAGAGGCCGGCAGGCGGAGGATGCTGCTCGACGCGCCCGGCCTCGCGAGCCCGGCCTGCTCGCGCTGCTCGTCTGTCCAGTTGAGGTAGCCGGCCATGACCTGCAGGATCTGGAAGCGCTTGGGGTCGGAGCGGTCGATGGTGAGGAAGTGGAGGAGGTGATTCGTCACAACTTGTCTAAAAGGGGGTGTTAGTTGATCTGCGGCTGAAGCATGTAGTGCAAGAAGAGGTCACTTTACCTATCAACGTTGTCCTCTGGTTTCGTCTTTTTCAGGTAACGGAGAGCCTTGGTGAGATGGTCATTGAGCACAATGGCCTCATGCCGCAGCTTGCCAATCAAGAGGTTCTTCTCCTTGACCTCCTTTTCGAATGGCGCTGTGCGTTCGAGCTCCTTGGTGAGGGTTTCCTTGGCTGACTCTGCCTCGGTAGCCCTGGTGTCCGCCTCTTGCACAAGCTTCTTCATAGCTTGCAGTTGCTCCTCCGACGTCTCGACCATCTCCCGCAGCTCCTTCTTCCGCGCCTCCTGGATCTCGCGCAGAGCCTTTTGCAAGTTGTCAATGACCTGCGACTGGTGATCTCGTTCGGACGCGGCGCTCTCGTAGCCATCTCGTAGGTTGGCAATCTGCTCCTCCAGCTCCGTCACCTTCTCGACCAGGCTCTCCTTGACGGATCGCTCCTCCATGGCGATGACCTCCCACTCGCCCATGGCATTCGTCGTCGTCTCGACTTCCTCCTTGAGGTTGGCGACTAGCCTCATCAGCTCCTCGCGCTCCTTGACCCAGTTCTGCTGGGATAGGTTGCTTCGGCTGCGCAGACTCGTCGCCTCACGCGATGTGTCCTGCAGCTCGTCCCGGAGCTTCGCCACCTCTTCCTCGGATGCCTTGGCGCCATTCTGCAGCTCCTCGTTCTGGGACTCGAGCTCTTCGATGCGCTCCTTGGCCTCTTCCAGCTCGGCGCGGTCACGCTTCAGTCTTTCGCCGAGCGTCGACTTGAGGTGGTTGACTCGCTCGAGGAGGCCTTGGTAGCTCTCTTCTGCCTGCTCCTTGGCCGACGACGTCTCTTCCAGTTCCGACCTGAGCTGGGCGACGGTCTCGTTGTGTGTTCCCTGGATTGTCTCCAGCTGCTTCCTCAATTGTTCGACCTCTGATCGCAGCGCCTCTCGTTCTCTTGTGAGGGCGTCCAGCTTTGCCGTGGCATCGGGGCTGGTTCCCTGCTCTTCTGCGGCCGCCTCTATCGGGGGATTCGCATGTCCGTTACTCGTCGGCCGTTCCGTGTGGCCATTGGCTGTTGTGTTATTATCCGCTGACTGTTCGGGGCTGGATTCTTCTATCGGCGCGGAAGCCTACGACGGCAGTCAGCCAAGCTGGGCTTTGCGGGGGGGGATCAAGGGAGTATCACCTGCACCGGGGTTTCCGGTTCATCATCACCGTCCTCTGCATTGTCGGGCGGAGGAGGCGCGCTTTCTGTGTCTATGGGTTCCTTGGGCTTGTTGGCGTTGTTCTTCTTCTTCTTGCCGCTCTTCTTCTTCCCTGCAAAGTCCCCTCCGTTAGCATGGGGTCGCGCATCAACGTACACGCGGGAAGGATTCAATCGGGGTCACGAACCTGAAGATGCGTTTTGAACCGGATCAGTGGAGGGAGCGGCGGCCGACATGTTGTCTTCTCAGATGCATCGGGATGGTGTGGATAGCCCTTTGAGCTGGTGGGCGCGGGAACGGGAGAAGCTCTTTTTCTTCTTCTTTCTCGAGGGTCCGGTCGGTTAGGAATTGGGATGTCGACAGTTTGCACCTGGGCGGGTTTGCATGTACTTACACCACGTAAGCTAGGTTCGCAAATTAGCGAGCGTGTTCACTTCCCACGCGGAACCTAGGGTGCTGCTCCCCCGTCCCCCACACTAGGTAGGTGGCCACCGAGCTCCACAGAAAGGTACCGATAGCGAGGTGTATTAGCTAAGGCCCGGTGGACACGGCGCTTAAACGCTGGGAACCGCTGAACATGGAGGTGAACATTGTCATCATCAAAAACACTGTGGTTCTCTCTCCGGGAGAGTCATATGTTTGCTATTGATTTATTCAGACTCCATCTTAGTCTTCGTCTTGTTATATGGAAAGAAGTCATTAGTTTTCGAATGCTGGATTTCAGTGTGGTTTGCTATGAGCACAGAATCGATACATGAAACGGCGGCCCTAGCAAGTGGTCAACTGACTAACACTAGCCACACTTTGAGGGTTTGCACTTTCGGTGGCTCGACCTGACAGTGTTAGGTGTTCATACATGGCCAATGCCCAGACATTGGTGCATCGAGACGAGTTCTCTATTCGGAAGTTGACTTGTGCAAGTTATCTCGAACAGTGTATTTGTTTTTTCGTGCGGACTCAACCTCCGAATCGGCTGGCGCAAGTCAATCCAAGGTCCAGTACAACCTACCTTACCTCATGTAGGTACTGAGGTGGGCAGATTGCGGGTCCTTCGCTTAGTCATTCTTATCTTATCGTCCAAAGCCTTCAAGAAGCGTCTCCGTCTGACGGAAATTTTCCCGCTTCCTCTTTCCTTCTTCACATATTTTACCCTTCGCTGAAATATCACTAGAGCAAGCGCATTTTCCTCAATGACTTGTTCATTTTTGACGCTGAAGTAGAGTGATTTAAACGCCTTTTATAATCCCGGTGCTTGCCCCCAACTTTCGGGTTGAAATGGGTGCGACGGGTTCGCTATGTGCGCACATACTAACTTGAACCCTTTGCATTATGTCCCATTGTGTTCTCGATGCAACGACTCCTGAGGGACAGAAAAACAAGTAAAATACCTGATGCCAAACGAAAACCACAATACTTTTCGTGAACCCCAAAAAGGAAGAGAGAAACAGTTCCGTCGTAACGAGGGATATCATTAAAAAAAGAGCCTCGTTTTAACCCCTGGACTTTCTCCTCTTGCCGCCCTTGGGCGTCGCCTTCTTCGCAGACTTGGGGGTCTCAACCTCAGCGACCTTCTCCTCCTCCTTGGCAGCCTCCTTCTCCTCCTCAACCGGCGCAGCCTCGATAGCCTTGGTCTCCTCGGGCGCGTCGACAGCCATGGGCTCAGGCGGCGGCGCAACAGCCTCCTTCAACTTGGGCGCCTCGAACTCGTACCCGATAGCCTTGAGCTTCTCGGCGCGCTCCAGCCTCTTCTTCTCCTCCTTGGACACCTTGTGCGTCCAGTCGGACTCGGTCCTCTGCTTGGCCACCTCGCCGGCGGCGATCTTGTGCCAGGGAATCTTCTTGAAGCGCTTGTTGGCGCCCTTCCACACGTCCTCGTGCAGCTGGTCCACCGGCACCGTCTTCACCTTGAGAATGTGGCCGAACAGCAGGTAGCTGTCCATGGTCTTGGCCACGATCTCGGCCGTGCTGGCCTCGGCGAACTCGAGAAAGGCGTAGTGCTTGCTCGCGCCGGATTTCTTGTTGCGCGCCAGCCGGAGGCGGGTGATGTTGCCAAACTGTGAAAAGTATCCCTTGAGCTCGTGCTCGTAGAAACCGTGCGGCAGCCTGGAGATGAAGACCACGCCGGGCTCTTCCTTTTTGCCATTTGTCAACTGCTTCTGCTTCTTGAACTTGGGCACCTTGCCCACGTCCTGGCCCGACTTGAAGACGGTGCCGTCGCCGGCCGGCGCGTCCTCCGGGTCCAGGCCGGCGGCGAGGGCGGCAATGTCGGCGTCGACCTCCTCGTCGTCATCCTCCTCCTCGAATGCTACGACAGAGGTCTCGGCATCCTCGGTGGCTTCGGGCTCGGCCTCCTTCTCCTTCTCCTCCTCCTCGACGGGCTCGGCGGGCGCGGGGGCGGCAGACTTCTTCGACTTTGCGTTCGCCTTGGCGGGCTTCTGCTTCTTCGCCGCGACGGGAGAAGCTTGCGCCTCTTCGGGGGCTGATCAGGAGCACGTTGGTAAGTCAAAGCAACGTCGTTGGTCTCCAATTAGAACCATACCTTTGCGCTTGGGAGTCTT